GGAGAAAGTGACCCCAAGGACCTCTAATTTTTTTTAAGGAGGGGGGGGGAATAAAAAGAAACCCCCCCCCCCCCCCCCCCCCCGCTATTTCCACAGCAGTCCTCACAGCTACATTCTCGATTGCAGCAAGAGAGATGTTACTCAGTGAACGTGAAATGAGTAAACAAATTTTTCTTTGTGTTTAGTCTTAATTGGCGCATTGTTCTTATTGGTTTCAAGATAGTGGATGCAACTAAGCACGTCGAACTATCTATCACACCCATAATTTTAAAGTGTTTGTTGACCATTGTTCCACTCCGGTATGTTTTTTTCGATCTTAATATTTTTCTAGTTTCATCCTGTTTCCTTTTCATTATTTTTCCTTTCTGCAACCAATCGAGACATTGTTTTCTTTTAATTGGAATTAACTTTTTCAGTCAACTCAAGTAACTATTGAATTCAAAATAAAATGCATGCATACAGCTTCTCAACCATCCGGGCAGCAATCGTAACCAAATAAGTCAACTATTCTTTTCTCTTTCGTAAGAGAGAGAAAGATCTTATTCTCTTAATCTGCGTCATTGTTTCGATCAAAACAAAATATTTCAAGATACATATTTAATCAGACTGGTTGTATAAAGCAAATTTTTCTCATTCGTTTTTTTTTGACATTCGTAAAATGTAATTATTAAACAGTATGACATACTTTAGAAATCAAAAGTCTATGATTAGTCTTTCTGTCAAGCCATATAAATTAAGTTTTGTACGTTTGTTCAACTTGTTGTATGTGACTATAAGTATTTGACAAAACTAAGTTATTCTTAACATAATGGCATTTTGTGATATTATTTATGCAAGAAAAGTGTTCTTGAATGAAATATGTACGCAAACAATTAAGTTAAGTTATATAGCCTTGACTAATAATAAGATATGATGTGAAACCACAATATCGTACAATAAACCATCAAGTTTTCTCTGTTTTCCCCTCACATTAAATAAAATATTAATTTAATGAAGTAATACATGTAATCAATTTTTCTGTTCTATATATTCTGATCTAATTCGAATTAATAAAAGAATATTTATATATATATATATTTTGTTACAAATCATGTTGTCAAAGAAACAGTTGGATGTAATGTTTATTCAAGCAACTCATTTAATTTCGAATGATGACTTTGAGAAAATATAAATAGATGTTAAAATTGAGAATTATTTTTATTCTTAAAATAAAATTATAATTTCCGTTGATAAGGAGAAAGGTCGTTGTATTATATCATTTCCTTTTGCAATTATTGAAGATGATTGTTATAGAAATTTATTTATTATTTTTTTCTTTAAATAATTATATCGTTTTTTTTGGATTATATGTGCAATGAAACATTACAATCAAATCATATGAAATGATTTTTACTTTTAATCTAAAGTAAAACTACTTCAAACTTTTTCTTTTTGTCAAGGATAAACTGATGTTTATCTTTTTGTTAACTGGTAACAATCTCGTATTTGAGTACGGTTAACTTCTTTCTTTTATTTATGAAAAACATTGCAATTGTCTTTTTATGCCATTATTTTACCTTCTTTTATTATTTAGTGACAAGTGTCTACCTGTGATGTATTACAGTATGTTTTATAAAATAGAACATGAAAAAGACTAGAAAGAAAAAGAAGAAAAAAGTCAGAGTCATGTTCTACAATGAAGAGTGAAGCATAGTATGTGACAAACAAATCGGACTCATACAAAAGAGCAAACGAAAGATTCCTAGATTATAAGAATACAAGCAGCTTATCTAGAATTGATAAAAGTCATATAGTTTTTTTTTTAATGAAAAAAAAATGATAAAAAAAACATAGGAGGCTTTATATTTGGTGTCCCATAAAAATAAATAACATACTTTGGTCATACAAACAAATCATTCGCTTTTTTTGACGGTAAATGTACGTGCTCTTTCTTTGGCAAGTATATTTAATTTAGTTTTTTTTTTGAAAGAAGCATAGGGAATGAAAGAAAAATGAAGAGAGTAAAGAAGGAGAGAAGTTTGTTGTCATTTCATTTCATTTTATTTCAACATACACAACAGCCATTGTTAAATGTCCTACGACCGTTCAATTTATTTTACTTTTTTTCTTTCTTTACTTTACTAGTGAATGTATAGTCGACTTTTCAATGAAAGTAAGTTACCATAACTATTCACATCATTGTTCACTCATATTGTCTTCACTTTTTAAGAAGCTATACAAATGCTTTACATAATCGTCAGCATCTAAGTGGTTATATATATATATATATTGTACCATTACTATAACATATGTCAATGCTCGTTTCATCGCGATTATTACCACCAGCATTACCTTCTTCACCGATGACTATCTTTGATAATAATATCGATCATAGTCATCAAACTAATTCAACATCATTACCAAAATATTTTAATGTTCCGTTTGCTATCCAACATGGATATTTTCGTTGTATTCGATATTTATTACAACTTCATTATGATCCTAATGAACGTGATAGTCAGCTTCGAACACCATTAATTTTATGTTCATATGTTGAAAATGATCGATGGAGTTTATCACTTGCACAAAATTTATTAGAAAAAGGAGCTAAAATCGCCTTAGAAGATAATGCAAGACGAAATGCGTAAATTAATAAAAATATTTTTTAGAATTCATTTTATTGATATGACTCCTCTTTTGTTTTGTTTTTATTAGAATGCATCATGCTTGTGCTTTACAACGTTTTCATCTTGTACAATTATATTTATCTTGTTTAGATTTTAATATCGAAGCAAAAGATTGTGAAGGAAATACTTGTTTACATTATGCTGCTATTACCGGTAATTTAAAAGCATTGTAGTTTCTTCCGGAATATTTTTTTTTTCATTTCAAGGTAATTCTGGAATTGCTGAGTTAATTATCAGATCAGCAGAAAAACTCAATATTCGTCTCGATCAATATGTAAATCGAGAAGGTAAATTTAACTCATTTGTGTTGTTTAGGTAAGAATTAGAATCCTTTGGTTTTTGTTGTATTCAGGATGTTCAGCAGCTGCTCTTGCACTTAAATATGGACATATTGACTGTGCTAATCAAATAACTCATCGTGATTGGGATGAATTTTATGTTGTTCCACGTCCATTATCTATTTATGAAAGTCCTTCGACAACAGATGATAATCAAACAACAACAAAAAAAACGAAAATGAAAAATAATTTTTGTCAATCATCAGAAAAAAAACTTGAAACTCGCCCATCAACACTTTCATTTGGTTTATTGAAAATTATTTTTAATGATAGTGATACTTGTTATTCAAATCGTTTAGCAGGTCTCTGTAAGCAAGCTAAACAAAGTCGACATCGTCAACACTTAAAACATCCTAAACATGAAGCACCACAAACGGCGACAACGACAATTAACAAACTTGACCGAACAAAATCAACATTACCTACTGGTGCACATTATTGTAGTACAGAAGCTGTTGTTAATGAAACACAATCATTACATAAAACTAAAGAGCATCAAAAAAATTTCGATACTAATCTAAATCTTAATAATTCGAATCGAACAAGTCCACGAATACAATTATTCATACAACAACAACAACAACAAATTTTTAATAAATCAAATTTAAATGATCAAAATTCATCATTTATACAAAAAACAACCAGTAAAACACAATTATCAGTTGATGATTTGAATCAAATTCAATTCAATTCATCAAAAAATGATAATGAAGAAACAAAATCTAAAATAAGAGTACCAACAATATATCCACATACATCAAATTCAACATTGAATCATTCAGAACATAATACATCAAGAATAAAGAATAAATTTCAAAACTCAACAACATCAATTATAAATAATCAAACATATGTTAATTCTTCAACATCTCATATTAATTCCGCTAAAATAAAACCAACACATATTTTATCAGCATCAACAAAAAAGAAACCAGTATTAATTGATCAATTTGATTCAGTTTCAAATATTCCTAAACATCATTATTCCATTATTGGATCAGACTCATCGACATATTCTCAATCGATGTATGCGGGTCGTCCAATATCAGCAATTGTACATCATTCTAATTCAAAATCAAATGATTCATCATGTTCAATTCGTGAAGCTACAGGAGTAACATGTCGTTATAATAAACCTGAAGAATTATTTGGTCTTCGACCTGAAGAACTTTTTGCTCCTGAACAATATCAACCAAAAATTCTTGATCAACATTCAGCAATAAAAACAAATGAAAATACACGTTTAAAACGTAATCAATTACAGAAACAACAACATATATGGCAAAATGATGTTGATAAAATTCTTGATTTATATAATGTTCATCATTGTACTAATTATCGTAAATCAGCTATACCACCATCAACAACAACACAAACAGATACAACCAGTGATTCAATAAATAATGGTAGACCTCGACGCATGTCTATAACAAAAAATTCTTCAACAAATGTAAAACAACCAACTAATCCAAAACAATCAACATTTGCTTCATTAAATATTCCACGACGAAATTCAATTAGTCGCCCATCAATTAAATTGACAAATGCATAAACATTGAAAAAAAGATTATATATATATGAATTCGAAATTGGAACTTTATTTTTGAAGATTTTTTTTGTATATGTTTAGTCTTTTTTTAATTTTATTTTGACGAACATCAAATTGTTGAACAAACCAATCTTGTTTAGAATTTATTTTATGGCATTTTACTGCAGCTTCTAAAAATTCATATTTTCGTCCAATTAAAAAAGAAAAAGTAGTTTGATGCGAAACTTTCCGCAATTATAGAGTCCAGAGTTGATATTCACTCCTATAAATTTCTGCTCGATCGGTCAAAATTTTGCCTTCCTTGTGTCTATCAAACGTGAAAGAATTATTTATTTTCAAAAGAGTTTTTGAATGGCTTAGTAGCCAGTTTATATACCATTCGATAGAGAATTCAATTCTCAACAAAATCTTATAAATGCCGTAGAGCGAAAATCAAGAATCGATTTTAGCAAGTTAAGCATACTGTCATCATAGGATCATGCATAGACTATCTCGAAATCTTGTGGATCTTTATCACAAGAGGTTGCAACAATGTTGTCTTCTTGCCCATCACTAAAGTAAATACTATCCAAAAGTGAGGAGATTATATTGTAATATTTATCACCGATAATTACGATTTCTACTACTTTCTCCATAACTTAATCCATTGACGGCGAACCTTTTGTTGTTTTTTGGAAAAGAAAATGAAATTTCATTGTCAAAATTCGTAAGACTTTGAATATTATTTAAGATCATAATTATTCTACTGAGTCTTGGTTTGAAGATATATTTGATTTATGCTTGAATAGCAAAAACAAAACAAATACACAAAATCTCTAATATAAATATCATGTAGCATACGGAAAGAAAATATGCGAAAGAAAAAAACTGAAAATGCAATAAAGTCTGAAACTTCTCGAAGCAGTCAATCAATTACGCAAAGACCCATCTTACAATCTTTACACGTACAACGTGAATATATTCTCATTTTCGTCTTCTATTTGTATGAGCACATAGAATACGAATTTTCTGAGGATTTTTCTATCTGTTGTTTGAGATAGAAGAGACGAAAAGTGTCTAGCAGCAAGTCTAGCTGATTTACAACCCAGTATACTGTGTAAAGAGCTAGTGCATAAAGTCATTAGCGACAATACATATATTTAAGCATAAAGCATACGAAACAAAATCATGTTTGAGTTATAACAAAGAACATTTTTCTCTAACTAAATATTGAAACCCTAAATTTACGGGCTCCGCCGCCAAAGGGTTAATTATGATTATTTCGTGTACATCAAGGCTTAGTCATTTAACTTGTAAGCATTTAAATTGAAATAGTTTAATAAAAAAGAGAAATACCAAGAAATATTTCCAATTTGAGATATTTGTCAACAAAAATGTGTTATTTAAAATTTGATGAATTTGAAAATATTCAATTTTTGCGTTTTGTTATACTTTACGATAGTTTTTATCTTGATACTAATTGTTGGAAACAATTAATTTTAAAACATATGTTTCATTTACGGATATTGGATTTCACATACTTAATCGATTTCTTTCACCGTTTTAGAGTCATCGAAGATGATTTTTTGAACTTAAACTTCGTGTAAACATTTTCTTACTTATTACAATTATCGATCCCATTCAACCATTGAAACATGTTGGTGGATATTATTTGTCGAAATAATCAAGTTTGACTGAACAAAATGCATCCATACTTCATTTTCATATCTTCATCTTACTGATTCATATACTTATAGATCTCTGTTTTCATGTTATGCAATCTTCAAGTAAAATGTAGAAATATTTTCGATGGTAGATAGCTAATACGATATATATTTTAAACAAAAAAAAAATGCAAATTTTATCTTTGGAATTCGAAAGAGCGTGAATGTGGATGGAAGTACACAGAAGATCCTCGCTCAGACCGACACTCACAATTATACATTTACGGCCCATAAGTAGCTCTGCGCAAAATTTTGCCATCCGAGGTCGTCGATATTTTTTAGGGTGAAAATGGTTAAAATTTCGACAGGAAATTTTTCATCGTCGTAGTGCTAGAAGTGATGACCGGGCAATGAAGAATGAAAAGAACTACGAAGCTCACTATAGTTCGATCTCTCTCACAATAGATGACTTGTCATCCGGTCGTTCTTTCTAATCAAGAATTCTGGTTCGGTAACGAATATTTCATCGAAAATCTGAAAGCTACGTGATGTAATAAATTAAGTGTTGAAAACCAATGAAAAAATTACTTACGAAGATATTTTCAAAGATATTTAAGATTAAAAATATATTTATGTAATATTACTATTGTTTTGAATTTTCTCTGGTAAATGGAAAGTTTTATCTTAATCAAAGTTACTCACTCGGAAGAAAATAAAATGTATCATATTACTAACAAGAATATATTATTTTAAAAAAGTATATTTTTCTCATTATGTTGTTAAATTTGTTCTTTGTGGGCACTAGTATCACAATAATATAATTTAGTGTCATCTATAATATTTTCTAGATCAATATTTAGTTTCGAAATCAAAATGAATCCAGTTGAACGACGATTATTGATAGAGAATATATTATCATAGATGAAAACAAAAAAATTACAAAGTTGAAATATCTGTTCATATTTCGTAAAATGTTTTTTTCAATTTCTTTTTATATGCTTAGTAATGACAATTGATGAAAAAACTATAGTATATTAATTAATTGTAATGAATATCTATCAAATGAAATTTTTGAAATATTCTTCATAGTTATGATGTATTTAATGGCATTTTTTTTTTAATTTCAATAATCGTTTTGAAAATTTTCTCAATCATTAATATTTACGAATAAGTATAAGTATAATTATTGATTTAAAATCAATATTAGTTTCAATACGATAAATTCTTTCATTTCATCTATTAGCTTCATAGTAAATCAATCAGTTTCTTCAACTGTGTAATTTGAATTGTTCATTCAATCAATAGGAAGTTCTTGTGTTTTAATTTATATCAAACTACTTCGATGAAATTATTTCATTATTTTGAAATTTAATTCAGTTATCTTGTTCATGTTTTCGTTAAATATTTGTCTAGCAAATAATTTTAGTAATACTAATGAATTTTATCACTTGATTTTTCCTTTATTATGCTTTTCTATACACGTTAACTCTGTAGTTTAATTCATGAATCTATTGTATAAAGCACGACATAATAAAGTTTACTTCGTTGTTCATAGCCATTATATTGTTTGTTTAATACAAATTAATTTTTTACACACTGTAAGATTTGATAGTCATCTAACTATAAGATATTATTATGAAACGATTCTTGTAAATCTTGATAATCAGAATCTTATGCGATCTTATAGGATCATAATTTTAGCCTTCACTTATATAAATCATTATTGTACAGATAATTAAATCAGTTTGATTAAATAGAAATAGATTTTCATTTATTTGAATTGTTTATGTTATTATTTTAATTCATCTTAACAATCGAATTCAACAAAAAATAATTTTTTTACAATGTTTTCTAACCGCATATGGATGTTTTAATTTAGCTTTTGTAATCTTTTCATAAATTAATATATATACGAGCGAATAAAGAAAAAAGACTTTCTCAAAAAAAACAAGATGATCAAATAGCCGACAAAAGAAGAAAATCAAGTATGAAATATTGTAACCCTTTGGGTCCGGGCGATGCACATATGCGTCCTGGGATTTTACGCACTGAATACCTTTAAAAAACATGGTTGTTTTAGTTATTTAGTAGTAAAAATTGTATGAATATTTGTATTTAGGATACCTGTGCGGTTAAAGTTANGATTAATAAGTCGACATTTCGCTGTTTCTTATTTAATAGATATTGAATTGAGTCTAAAGTCTAATTGAAAATTAAGATACAGAGTCTTTAGAGAAAGTATCAAAAGCTAAGAATAGAAAAGTTGATTACACTGTCAAAGTACTTCGAGTGTCTTGGTCTAATTGAAGAATAGGTTGTCTAGCTAAGCCTCTTTACTGTTCAAACCCTAGTTATACTACTACTTGAATATTATAGAAACTTTCATACAGTGTCAAGTTCAGTCCAAATTTAACTAAAGAGAGAATATTCTGAAGTGTTCGTTCACTTTGCCTACATAGGGTTGTCAATTAGACTAGCTTGTATAAAAAAATTTCAGGATTTTTGGAGCAAGTTTCACCAAAATATGAAGCTTCGAAAAAAACAATATACTATCCATGGAAAAGAGCTTATACATCCTAAGCTCAGTATCTCAGAGAGACTTAGTTCAAAAAATTCTGAATTTTTTTATGCAAGTTAATCTAATGAGCATCTTTATCTGGACAAAACTTCAAGTCAAAATTCTAAAATATGGTCTTGCTGCAAATGCGAGATCCTACAGCTGAAATTTATTAAAACGTGTAATCTCTTTAGAAACAAGCTATGGACATGACGTCCCAGTTCAAAAGCAAACAAACACCTGACAATGTTAGTTCATTAAACAAAAATCGCACTAAGTTTTCAACATAACTCATTAATCTACAAAAAAAAAACATATTAAAAAGTTGTTCACTATCTCTTGCATGAAGGTTTCCTATGAGAATAACACTTGTCTAACTCTAATCTACAAATTTCTTCATAATATATAGTAAAACTACGATTAAATTTTTGATTGCATAGTTGAATTGATTCAGAATTTCACCATACACATTACAAAATTCAAAGTTTATTTGTAATCAAATTTTTCTCTAGTTGGACAGATCTAATCATGCACGTATAACTGATCTTGGATTTTGTAAACCAGAAGTAATGATGAGTGGTTCTCTTGTTGGCACTCCAATTCATATGGCACCAGAATTATTTACATTAAAATATGATCATACAGTTGATGTATATGCATTTGGTATATTATTTTGGTATATTTGTTCGAATGGTGTTAAATTACCGAATAATTTTGATGTTTGTTCATCAAAAGATGTTCTTTGGTCAAGAGTTAAACAAGGCGTTCGACCTGAACGTTTAAATAACTTTACTAATGAATGTTGGGAAATAATGACAAAATGTTGGGATCCTCAACCATCTCAACGACCATATTTAGGTGAAGTTCAAGAAAAACTTGAACAAATTCTTAGTAAAACAACCACACATGTTTGATTTATTTTTTATAATCATTAATACTTTTTTTTTTTTTCTAAATGATTAAGCTATTTTTTTTTGCATTTTGTTATTTAAGAGAATTATTTTTTTTTTTTTTATACATTTTTATTTCTTTATTTAAGTGCAATATATTTATAAATATTGTTAAATTTTAGTATAATGACAAAAAATCGTCGTTTTCCATTTGAACGTAATCGAGAAAAAATTTCATTAGAAAATTTTTCAACAACTGAACAACAATTATATTCAATAATTCGACAATATTCATCTATTTGTCGACATAATAATATTCAAAAGTTTCAAAATTTACAACAGAATATTATTGTTTCTAATGAAGAAAATCATCAATTAAATCAATTCATTAATTATTTGAAGCAACAACGTGATGTTGATATTATTGATATAAATAATTCTGCTAGTTTACTTGATCATAATGTTCAACATTGGAAACATGTTAAATATGAATGGCAAAAATATTATCGTGAAAAAAATAAAAAAGAGCAAGAAATATTTGATAATCTCATAAAAACTTGTCATAGATAACAGAAAAAAACATATAAAATGATTCATTATGTATTAATAAATCGTTCTTGTTCTTTTTTCTTATGAATGAATCATTGTTGAATAGTAATAAATGTTGATTGATTTACATACTGTGTTTTTTTGTTCTTTCAGATGGCCACAAATTCAATAGAACATGAAGGACCCGATATGGGTGTTGGTGATTTTGTTCTATTATCTGACATTACTATGGATGCATTCGTTAAAAATCTTCAATTACGGTTTGTTTTTTCTTTTTGTTTTTGTATAATAATCAAATATGATGAATTTTATAGGTTTGAGAAAGGACGAATCTATACATATATTGGAGAAGTTTGTCACAAATTATTTTTTATTCTTCATAAATTTTAATATATTTTTCTTTAATATATAGGTACTTGTTAGCGTAAATCCTTATCGTGATTTACCTATATATGGCCCAGAATATATTAAAAGTTATAAAGGACGTGAAATGTTTGAACGACCTGCACATATATTTGCACTTGCAGAAGCAGCTTATCGAACATTGAAACAACGTTCATTAAATAGTTGCATTGTCATATCAGGTTGGTTATATAATAGAATAAGATAATTAGATTTATTTTCTTTTTTTGGTATCAGGTGAATCGGGATCAGGCAAAACAGAAGCGTCAAAAATAATTCTGCGTTATATAGCAGCAGTAACAAATGTATCAAATCAAGCTGAAATACAACGGTTAAGAAAATATTTTTTCAATAAAAAAATCTTTTGAATTTTATTTTTGTTTTTAGAATTAGTAATATTCTTATTCAAACGAATGTTATACTTGAAGCATTTGGTAATAGTCGAACAAATCGTAATGATAATAGTAGTCGATTTGGTAAATATATGGATCTACATTTTGATTATAAATTTGATCCAATTGGTGGAAAAATTCAACATTATCTACTTGAAAAATCTCGTGTTGTTAAACAACAATTAGGTGAAAGAAATTTTCATTCATTTTATCAATTATTATATGGAGAAAATAATTTACAAGAATATGGTCTTAATCATAAAGCTGAAGATTATTATTATATAAATCAAGGAAATTGTTGTAAAGTACCAAAAATTGATGATAAAAATGATTATCAACAAGTTAAACAAGCTTTTAAAATTGTTGGTTTTACACAAGATGAAATATCAATTATATGGAAAATAGTTGCTGCTATTCTTCATCTTGTAAGTTTTTATAATAGATTATCGAAAAATAAATTGACAAAATGTACATTCATTTTACAGTCTCTTAAACGAGACTGCAAGAGCAGCATACTCTTCGCCAGAATTCGGCGATTTTCATTTCAATGACAGAACCTATTAGCAATATTCTAAGCTGATGCTTGCTGTATATTTATAAACATATATGATAGATACTCAGAAAGAGATTCAGCGATTTCGTTTTTGACGGTGAAATGCACAACCAACTATAGCCTTTAGTTTCGATTGGACAAACTTCGAAATATTGCTGCTGCATATCTCTATTTAGAACATACGACTCGACATTTTAGAGGCGTAAAAATCAAGTTTCGAGGAAGAAAATTTACTTATTTTTTTCAGTAATAATCTCCTTTACTGCATACGCTTCTTCTTTAAAAGACACTGAAAAATGAACGAACATTTTGTCAAAATTACTTTTTGATAATCCGTTACGGATTGTTTTACTTGTAAATTTTTTTTAAAGGGTAATTTAAAATTTACTGATGTTGATGGTGAACATTGTTCAATAACACGATCAAATGATAAAAATGATCAATTAAAATGGATATCAAAATTATTATCATGTGAAGAATCCGAAATCTCATCAGCATTAACTTCACGTGTTGTTGCTGCACGTAATGAAGTTATACAAGCTCGACAAAATATGACACGAGCTTATTATGGACGGGATGCATTAACTAAAGTAAGTGTTTTGATATCAAAGAAAACAAGTATATTAACTTAACCATTAGGCATATTTTCTTCTATTTTGGTAAGAAATAAAAGCAAACGCATGATTTGTTTTGTTTTTGCTGTACATTTGTCAAATGTCCCATTTTTTTGAAGAACATTTTGCATGATTATATACTTTTGTTTTCTTCCTTTTTCTCTGTTGATTTAATTGATATTGATTTTAATTATTTAGGCTTTGTATGAACGTTTATTTGAGTGGTTAATTAAATATATAAATAAAACTTTGTCAAAAGAAACTAATGAACAATCAAGTTATATACAACGTACGACACAAAGTTCACTTGTTATTGGTGTATTAGATATATATGGTTTTGAAATATTTGATAATAATAGGTATTATTCTATTTTCTTTTGTTTTCTTTTTTGCTTTATTTAAAATAAGAAAAGAAAACGGTTTTTTTTTTAAATATAGTTTCGAACAATTATGTATCAATTATTGTAATGAAAAATTACAACAATTATTTATTGAACTTGTACTTAAACAAGAACAGGAAGAATATGAACGAGAAAGTATTACTTGGAAACATGTATGTTTTATCTCAATTGTTTATTTATTCTTTTCTTTTTTGTAAATTCTTTTTAGGTTGATTATTTTAATAATAAAATCATTTGTGATCTTATTGAACAACCACGTACAGGCGTTTTAGCATATCTTGATGAAGCTTGTCAAGCAGTAGGAACAATTACAGATGAAATGTTTCTTGATTCAATAAATAAAGCTTTTAAAAGTCATAAACATTACTCAAGTTGGGCTGTAAGTAGACGTTTTGTTTTAAATCTATTCTTATGTTAATGATATGTATATTTTTAGCTTACGCCCGGAGAAAAAATATGGAAAAATGTTAATAATAATAAACTTTTTCTCATTCGTCATTATGCAGGTATGCATATATTGTTGTTTTATTCTTGAAAAATGAATAAATAATTTTCGTATAATTTTAAATTATAGGAGATGTTATTTATTCAGTCGATGGCTTTTTAGATAAAAATCGTGATACATTATTTGATGATTTTAAACGTTTATTATTTCATAGTAAAAATCCAATATTATCTTCAATGTGGCCAGAAGGTGAAAAAAGTATTACATCAGTAACACGACGACCATTAACAGCAGGCACTATATTTCGTAATTCAATGATTAGTCTTTCTACACTTCTTTCATCTAAAGTAATTATACATGCTTATAAAATTATCTTAACGAGGGAGCATATCCAAATGTCAAATCACTTTTTGAGTCAGGACTATGTACATCATGTAAACCCTAATAAGCTATAGTTACACTGAAAAAAGTTCAGGCTATTGATTTATCGCTGGTGATAAATTGCATTGTACGATATTTTTTAGTACACTGCTATGGTCCCCTGCCAGGAACACCAAGAAGACTAATTTTAGAATTTTGACTTGAAATTTTGCATAGAGACAGGTCTCTACAAGAATAGTTCATTGTGAAAGTTTCGATCGTTTTGTTTTTCCTATTAGAAACAATCAAAAATGTCTGAAACTTTCCCAATAAACTAGTCTCTTTAACGTTTGTTTCTCCTAATGTTCCTGATTTTTTAGGGTATTCATAGTTCTGACTCAAAAGCGATTTGACACTTGAAATTTGTATTAATTGTTTTCTAGCAACCATTTTATGTTCGTTGTATTAAACCAAATGATGAAAAATCTTCGAATATATTTGATCAAACACGTGTTGTACATCAAATTGCTTATTTAGGTTTGCTTGAAAATGTTCGTGTTCGTCGTGCAGGTAAAGCACTTTTAATATTTATTTTCTAAAAATTAAAATAAAGATAATTCTAAGGTTTTTGTCATCGAACACCATATGAACGATTTGTTCAAAGGTAAAATTAAATAATAAAAATTTCGAAATAGTTTTTTTGTTTCATTTGTATATGCATATCTTAGATATAAAATAATTGATTCAGTTCGATCAAAATTATATCCTCGTGGAGCGCCAACTAAAGAAAATGCTGCTTATATTTGCCGTGAACTTAATCTTGATAATGATGTTGCTTATGGTAATACAAAATTATTTATTAAACAACCGTAAATTATTCAAACATAAAGAAATCTAAATTTCTGATGGATCTATTCATTGTTTGTTTTAGAGTTTCATTATTTCAATTGGAAAAAAAGCGAACAGAAGGTTTGCAATTTATTGTTATTATTCTTCAAAAAGTATGTACCATGATATATTATTCGATTTGTGTATTTATTTATTTATAAATTCTCATTAAAGTATACACGTTCATGGCGACAATATCGTGAATTTCATCGTGAAATTTCAGCTATTAAAATACAACGTATCTATAGAAAATATCGTACTCGAAGTTATATTAATAAACTTAATGAATTATTTCGGTAAATTAATATATATTTTTTTTTCTGTTTCATAATTAATAGTTTATCTATTGTTAAGTAATGTTTCGAATTCACATGACCTTGGTAAAAATATCAAGTGGCCAGCACCTAAGCCAGGTTTTATTCCTATAAATAATATATTAAAAAAAATTTATCAAAGGTAAATAAACAAAAACAAAATGTTCTTCTATTTTATTATTTGAATTTGTTTTTCATTAGATGGCGTGCTTATAAAGTTATACAACGAATACCAGCTGACCAACGAGCAATATTTGAATTAAAATTACTTGCTGCAGATTATCTTCAACAACGATCATCATTTCATGAAACAAGTATTCGTCAAGAATGGAAAGGAGATTATCTACTTCTAGTAAGTTTGTTTTTTACATTGAATTTAAGACAAGAGTTATTGCATTTTCCTTCTTCGAAATTTCATAATTTGCTTATCGAAATAATGGATTAATATGGTCTGATATTTAGTGAAAATCGAATCAGATTTAAGAAAACAGATTCGAAGACCTTGATAATGAATATAGATAAACAGCATATGATGTCTTATAATACAACTAACATTCGAAAGAGGAATTATGTTAATGAAACTTTATTGATTAACTATAATTATACAAGAAGTAGATATGGAAAACATAGTCTCGGAATCAGGACCAAATATTTTTCTGACTGGGACTGGGATCGAAAACAATTGGCCCCTTTTATCACTAAATAATAGGCTTGTAATAGAGTGTAGTCGATGTAATTTTGATTAATGGGACACTCAAAGCTCCGTTAGAGAGATTCAGTCTTCCACCTGGATTACGCCGCTATTATTAATGTAAAATATTTATTGGGTTTGTAATTCACCAAAAGACTTGATTTTCTACAGAGAAAAAAAATACTTTTTTTTAATTTTTATTTATTTAGCCTGAAGAAAATCCTCATTCACTTGAATATCGAAAATCAATTAGTGAATTACGTGGAAAAGATAATTTTACTCATGTACTCTTTTCTACACTTGCAGTTAAGGTATATTGTCTCAATTAAATGTTCATATATATATCTATTGATATTTTAAATATGATTTAGTTGAATACTCATATTAAAATGGATGAACGTGCTATTATTCTAACAGATAAATATATTTATAAACTAGATCCAAAAAAAAATTTTCATATTAGAAAAACTGGTATTCCACTTGATGATATTATTGGTTTAAGTGTTACATCAGGAAATGAACAATTAATTATTGTTCATCTAACATCAAATCATGATCTAATTTTTTATATGCATACAAAAAATGATCGTGTAGGTGAATTTGTTGGTCATGTAGCTAAACTCAAACGAAGATCGTATGTTGTTTTTATTTATTAAAATTACATTATTTTTTATTTGTTTTGTTTTTAATGATAGATCAAATTTTACAGTTGATGTACAGCGTTATGTTTCAGCACAAATTGATAAATCTAAATATGTTATTAATGCAACATGGGGTGGTGTTGATAAAATTGAATTTCATAAAGGGTCAAATAAGAACATTTCATTAATGTTACCGAACAGTGTATAACTTTTTTGTTTATATTTTATTAACATCGAATTTTCTCGTATTCTTGATCTGTTTATGTTGAATATCAGATAATGGTGATTTTATATTATTATTCTCTTTTTGTGTATCAGGTGCATTTTGTAAGAGTTCGCTATTAAATCGAAATCATATTGACGAATATTTTTAATTTTATTTTCTCTAAATTTATGTTCTTCTCGCATGCTTTACTAATCAATTATTTTTTTCTTCTCACCGTTGTACTTATGACGATATAATACTATTATATTAATAATATATAATTAATAAAGAAAATAGTGGCACTGCTTTCAATAAAAGAAAAAAACGTTTTGTTGAGCATAAACATTATTTAAAGAATGTTATCCTAACGAATTATTATTCAAAAGCCAAAAAAAATAAGAAGAAAATATTGGTTGAACATCTCTTATTCGAATAGAAAAAAATATATGGGATAGTTTAATATACGTGTAGTTAGCAAGAACTGAATTCAAGGATTTTATAATTTTCAGATGACCTAAATACATATGCTTCTTGTTCTATTCATATCATCAAATAATAATATTTGACCCCATGGTAGAAATTTGAGTGTGAATGATTCATTGGATTTAATTGTGTTTGTGGTTGAACTACCGAGCTCAACACTTGAAAATGAGTATGAACCATCATCATCATCATCATCTACAATAAGTACATTTTTATTATCCAATAGCAATAGTCGCATGAAAAATTCGAAGTTGAATTATATTGTCAGTTCTAAATACTTAGGAACCTGCTATGCAAAGTTTTGCATTTGTAGTCGTTGTACAATTAGTATAAGCACCATTTGTAAGAACTATAGTAATTATATTCATTATTGAGCAATGCACTTGTCAAGAAAGCAAAGTTATATTAATGCTGTTGGTCTTCGTCAATGAGTTTGATGTTGATCTGAAAAATTCAGTCTTACAGATAAAGTCATTAATTCAGTATCATAATAGATTACTATTATCCATTTTTGTTTTAAAGTCGCTTCGGGAGAATGCTTATAACTGTTGAAGGGAAAGTGATAGAGATCTGCTGTTCTCATTGTTGGACAGAGCACAGCGAGATACATAGTACTATGAAATAATCAGGCATTCAGGTAAGGTTTACCACAATAAATCTTTGAATGAACATCTTCTTTTTATCTAATTAACTCTAATTAGGGCCAAAAATATTACAGAAAGTTAGAAATGAATGACTAGAAAACATTTTTACTCTCTGGCGCTAAATTTACAGTCTACTGCTATAGTATAACCTGTCTTAAAACTGATTCAATTTACTCAAATTCAAGAACGTTTTCCAAATTCCAAATAAACAACGCCTCGATGTTCAGGATATCTGTTAATCTATATGTCGAGTTTTTTTTGAAATTTTTGCCAGTGTACGGATAGGAGTAGATACCTTTAAAAAGAATACTTATAACTTCTGAGCTGTAAAAGATACAGACCTGGGATTATTCTAGAATTGTAGATCTCAACTCAGGCTATTAATTTCACTATTTGAAAATTAACAAAATAAGACATACTCTCCGTACGGTTTATGAAACTGCTGGTAGTTATCTTTTCGTTAGTTCGAACCACTTCCTATCTATCTTATTATCCTATTGTAGAAAGACGACTATAACAATATCTTTTATTTTCATATCGATTATTCTACTGCAATGTCGTTATTAATGTTTCATTTTTCCCTAATATTTTACTGTTAGTATATAAATGAAGTGTAATGTCATAGAACTCTCAGTAAAGATTCATATTCTCTAATAAAAATACAAAAAAATTACGATGATAAATTATGGATATAAGTCTGTATGATTGTGTATTTTGAAAAATATATTATCATTTCCAATGTTACGATCATCGAAAAATATTTTTTTTTTACAAATGATGTTTTTGACATAAAAATCTGAGATTCTGTTCAGACGAATTGTAGAACAAAGTGGAAAGTGCAAGTATTCCTTACCAGGCAACTTCTCTTTCCTTTATGAGAAATAATTTTCAACGAGTGAACTAATGAAAAATGAATACCATGCAAGACTTGAACTATTTTCAAGATCAATATGCTATGAAACCATGGTGAATTGTTTCTAATTGATAATAAAGTCCTATTCTGGCTTGGAATCAAACCTTTGTCTCACTGTAGACAATAGTAGGCTTTTAGTTGTGTTAAGCAATGATTTTAAATAAGAAAACAAATCTTCATTGAAGAAGACCAGGCAAAACAAAGCATAGATGTTGTTCAAGATCAGTTGTTGTTATTGTTTAGTAGATGAAAAGTTTTGAAAGAGTTCTTTCTTTGTTCTTATTATTAGCGTATATGGAATGTAATCGATAAAAATAGAGATAATTTGTATAAACTGTTACGTTGTTTAAGGTTACCTGAAAAAGAAAGGATACTGATTTAGTACTATAACTTGATAGAATTTTAATTTAAAAAGTCGTGCTAAAAGAATGCTTCTAGTTTCGCATGATGCTTAATTCAAAAAGCAAAGATCTAATCACTCTATCTAACTGTGAAGACGTAAGTCCAATAGATATAAAATTTCTTAGTATAGTATTATTTTTGTTTTTGAAGAGACAAATTAATAAGTATATAATTGTAAGGGTTTCAATAAAACTTTTTTTTATTAATCAATAATAGATTATACCTTTCTTTTTCTTTTACAAAAGATCAAAGCATTGCTTTTCCGTTATTTTTTTTCTTCTAAACATACATCCTCTCTTTTCTCAATCCGTTTCATCTCATTTTCATCGATATCAAGTAACTGATCCTTGTTTTCACGTGCCGCATTGTTAACAGAAATAAAAAAACTTACATCAGAGAACATTGCAAACGTGTCTATCCATATTCGATATCACCAATAAACATTCAATGGCATTAGTTAAATAAAAGTAAATACTCTTTAGATATATATATAATATGTATGTTTATTGAACACAAATAAAGAAGAACAAAAAAAACAAAAGAAGAATAAAGAGAGATACATATAATCTACTGTTCAAATGGAATGCATCCAATGTTCATCTTTAAAAAAATCCGGTATTTGATCATCTAAACGTTGAATAATTTTATAGATACTTTTTTTCCATGATGGTTCAAGATCTTTTTGTTGTTGTATAGCATGAAAAAATTCTCGCAATGTTGATTGTACAACATCACAAAAACTTGTTGGAACCTAAATAAAATAATTTTTTTTTATTTAATAAAATATTTTACGGAAAAAAATTCTCTCATACATCAATTTGATTTGATCGATTATAATGAAGATTAAGAACACGATATAAATCAGAATCAGTTGTTATAACTAAATCTTCAGTATTTCGAATACCTTCAGCTAAATATTGTCGAGCATATTTTTCAATTTGAATATAAAAAAATTCACTAAAACAAAACAAAATTAAATTAAATAAAAAACAAAAGAAAAGAAATCTTTTACCGAAAATTTGAAAACCACTTAACTAATTGTGCTGTTATTAATTTATTAAAACGTACGTCAGGAAAATAAACTTTTAATACTGATGAACTTGGATAACGTGTATAGAAAAACATTAATTTTGCTTTACGTAAATGAAGTGATGTCAAAATTGTCGCGTAAAAAAAAAAAAAAAGAAAAGTAAGAACAGATGTTTATGAAGTTAATGATACATTTTTCTGTTTGGAAGGTTCGTATTACTCACTCACTCAATATAAGATATGTGGTCTTTATGACATTTATACTCGATTTATTCTTACTAGAAAAAAGGTCATTAAAAAAAAAAAAGACACTTATTTGAAAAGCATTGTATTCAAGTGTTGACTGTTGCTGATGATGATTTGATGTTGTTGATTCATATGAATGATTCGATAAACTTTTATCATCTTCAATTAAATCTTCATGAGAAATTATTTTTGATGTTATACGTGGTGATAAACGTGTATCAGTTACCTTGAAAAGAAATAGATGTTTTCTTCTTTTTTTTTTCTGGTCAAATGATAATAAGAAAATTTTACTTTAGTACGACGTTTTTTCGGTGTTGATAAACGAAAAGGAAATGTACGATCTGATAGTGTATTACCAAAAGGAATCATTGATGGTGGTGGTGGTGGAGGTGTATAATGATTAATAAATGAATTATTAAAAAGAATTTGAGAAATATATGGATGATGATGATGATGAACTGTTTGAGAAAAAACTGGTGGTAAATTTTGATTAATACGTTTTGTTTCAATACCAGCATTATTTATAGATGAAAAAAAATCCTTTTGCAGATTTTCAAGAAATCTTGTCATGGATATAGGAGATGTTATATTATTCGTTCGTGCTAAATCTTGAATATAATTTAAAAATGGTAAACTCTGTGGCGAAAATGGTAATATTGGTGATTGCGGAATTGAAAATATATTCTAGAAAAAAAAATATCAACGAAAAGATTTTTCAAAAACTAAAAATATGAAATAGATATAAAATACTTGTTTTTCATCTTGACTATGAACTTCTCCAATTTCTTCTTCAGATGATGACTGTTCATCATCCTCTATTGGATGATTTTCTGTAAGAAGTTGTTGTGGTTTTAATTGTTTTCTTGAACGTTTATTAAGATGATTATCATCGTCTTCATCTTCCTCATCGTCATCATTAATTTTTGATCGTTTAATTAAAAGTTTTTGCTGTTCCTGTTGTTGTTGTTCTTCATTATTATTATTATCAAGATATGAATGTGAATGTTTTTTTTGTTGAATTGAATCATTTGATGTTGCTGCCATTGGTGATATTGATGATGATGATGGTGATGATGGTGTTGATGATGAATCAATTGAACGTTTTTCAATAAGTTCTTGTAACATTTTTGTATGTGTAAATGCCATATCATTCAAATGATTTAAATGTTGATGATAACGTGGATTAAAAACGGATGGAAGAAGATACGAAGAAAAATTTGTTGTTGATGGATTCATTATATTTCTCAGAGTATCAATGAATAACCTTAATAATAATAATAAAAAAAAGAAGAATGAGTCTTTTTTTTTCTTTTATTGTGCATCGAACAAATAAAGAAAAGTAAATTTTTAGGGTCTCTTATCTCTGTGAACTTTGCTTAAGTTAGAAGCAGCATCTCTACGTGCCGTTTCTCAGTGTTTTTAACATTCACACATCTCTCCCGAGACACTCACCATTTAGTGGCAAATTTATTCTTGACTCGTCCTGATGATTCGTCTGTTTCTTCTTCTTTTACTTCTTTGTGTGTGTGTGTGCGTTGTGTATGCGTCGGATCAGATTCTGCAAGAAATAGAAATAGAAAATCAACCATTCGTAGAACGTCCTATCTCATAGTCTTAAGAGTAAAAGAGAGAGAAAAGAAAAGAAAAGAAATATTAACCAATGTCTTTGTCAAGAGTAAAAGAACATTACAACTAATAGGAAACGGGAGAACGATGAACAAAGAAAGAAAATGTTTGACGTTTAAGACGAATGAAAAATCAGTATGCAAACGTGCATCACCTGCTTACCTTTTTATTTTTTTATTTTTTATTTTAAAGAAGCATCTGCGCATGCCTACGAGATATCGAATTAAAAAATATTATCGATGGATAAATGATGATCGAAAAAACAATATATATGCCCTTAAGGCTCTATAATCCTTGCTATGTTGTTTTAACATCTTTTTGTAAAGATAAGAATTAATGGTTAATGATTTCGAAAATGAAAAATATATAATTCATGTCTTATTTTGAATAGAAAAATCTTTCAAATATGTTTACAATAGACAAAAAGAAAAATCACACTATTTACGATATTTGAGAAACAGAAGCAATATTTGAATGTCATTGCTATGGTCGATAAAAATACATCCAAAACAAGAAAAATATTCATATTTTTTTATTTTGAACGTCATCACGTAGGTGAGAAGATGTGTCAAGTGAACCAATGTATAGAACATTTATCTTTTTTTTTTCTTTTGTTTTTCTTTTTGTCTACTCTGTTTCCTTTGGCTTAACAGTAATAACACAGGAAACGAGAAAGTCTTTCTCGCTTGTCCTATAAAGAGTAGTCTTGAACCAATTACAGAAAAGTATTCGCCTTAAGGGTACCTAACCAACCAACATTTTTTTTCTTCTAATGAAAAGAATTTGATTGAATCGTTAATGAAGAGATTCAACTAAAAACAAAAACTTTTTTTTTTTCTTTTTTGTATTTTGCGGATCGATGAAATCAAGCGTAAATAATGATCATCGATCAATTGTTGTTTTGTCTTCATGGTGAAAAACAAATGAGGATAATAATAAAAAAATAATCCGGATATGATGATTATATTCTTCAGCTGTTTCACACCTTTTAGTTTTATTTTATTTTAAAAATATTTGAATACATTCAAGTTGGTGCTATTTTTCCTGTTGTTTCTCCGCCCTTGTCGTCGTTTACAGACAATTTGAAATTTTCTATCGCATCAATACTCATTTGATTATATTATATATATATATATGTATGTGTCTCAATGGTGATGAAATCATTCGTCAATAGGGATATATATATATAGAGAGAGAGAGAGAAAGAAAGTTAATTCTCTCTTTTCGTGTGAGCAGATGCCAGAGAGTTATGTTTTATCTCAAAGAAAATAATCTTCGATATTGATCTGTAGGTGTATGTGTCTCTCGTTCTTTACCTTTAGTGCGAGAATGCGTTCAAGTGATCAAACACATGTCAACATAATTTTTTTGTTTCTATATATCACCATTCATCTCAAGAATGTTCAAATGATGTATTGTCATGCACTGTTGATTTCTCTTAAACAGATGTATATATTTCTCTCATTCTTTTATTATTTTTTTCTTCATTCAATATATTTTTTATTGGTAAAAACGGATTTTATCATCATTTATTCTAGTCTCGCACAAATGTCATTCTATCATTTCCTTCTTTTTTTTTTTTTTTTTTTTTTTTTGTAAAAGAGAAAAAGCGAGAAGGCTTATTTCTTCCTCTTTCCATAGAGGCAATGAAAGAGTGCCAGCTTTTGATTAAAAGTAAAAGTTGTCTAATGAACTAGACGAGCAAAAAACACACACACACAATGAATGCATAGACCAAGTGTGAAATACATCCGCATCACTAATGACATCCCACCAGAGCATGTTCTTTGTATAGAGAAATACATGATAGATCATTCATATAGCTTGAAAATGCAAATTGAGTCCTTCTTTCAAATCAAGACAAGCGTAGCAAATCCGAAATACATGATAAATGCATTGTAAAAAAAAATAATATGGAAGAAAAACGATTGGCAAGGTGATATTCTTCTTCTTCTTCACATCTGTCGGATTATTAAAAAAGATAGCAATTCATTTAATGATATAGAATAGTAAACGATATTTATTGAATGAATAAAAGGATATTAAACGTTGAGCACGCGTAAGAGCTTAATAAGAGAGAGAATAAAACAAAAACAAAAAAAAGAAGAAGAGATGAAGATGTTGTTTGACAATCGTCTCTCACTTGTATGAATACGTATATACATATATATCAAAGGATATAAACGTCGTTCGACTCTTGACAACAATAAGGCTACTGTATCACTCATCATTATGAGGTGTTTGATTGAACATAGACAACAGTCATTGCCGCCGCCGTTCACTTTCGATGCCACTTCACTGACATGACCACATGTGTGTGTGACATACTCAATATGCACTGATGTTCGAAAGAAGAGACAACAGAGTAAAAGGATTGCATGCATGTCGATGTATAAAAGTTAACACGCACATGCTTAACTTGATTAGATATACTGTTGTCCACTTTGATGTGTGAAAGATGGGATATTGTGATTTTGTCGCTCATTAGAAAGATCAACTGATTTACCTATGTATATAATGTATACACGTGTGTAAAAGATAGTGAACTTTACATAGGAGATTTATAATCAATCAATTAATCTTCTATCAAATATGTTCTTTGATAAGTATAAAATAGGGAAAAAGAAAAGATTGTTTAACAACGACAAGATTTCGTTTCTTGATTTTTTTTTAATTGTATCGGTAATAATTAGAGATGGACGAGATTATTCAATCATGCGAAAAAATTGATATTAATCTCGATCTTACACAGTTGGAGATTTAGATAGAATAGGTTTTTTCTTTTCCATTAATTTGTTATAATGTGGAAGAAAAGATCGTTTCTGTTGTTTTGTTAAGTAACAAATGAGCAAAGAGTATTTAACTATTTCTATGAATACAATAGTTGCACTCCGAGATCTTATAGTAATTCAACAAATGAATAAACAAAGACTTACATCTATAAGTATCCTAAGGCGTTCTAACTCCAGTAGAGAGGAAATACTAAAACGGGAAACTTAGATAAAGAAAAAATTCCTCGTAAATGCATTTTTTTTTAATGTTTTGTATATATAAATATATATAAAGTGCCGGAAAAAATTATGACATTCTATCACATTATATAGAACCTCGAATCCATACAGAAAATATTCACTTGCGTCAAGGAAATTTTAATTTGTTTATGCTTGCTTTTGTTTTTTGAATAAATCCATTACTTGTGAACAATCTAGTTATTACAGATGAAAGTTGAATCGATTTTTAAGTTTAAATTTTTTTAATTTATTTGAATCTTTCAGCGATATCGTAGGTCAATGAAAACATTCAAATCAACATGATTGGATGAAGTTCATAAACATTTTATATTTCAATGTAGTTCAATCACTATTTAATGAATATTATATTTTTATTTTAATACTAATTCTCAGTAGTTCTATTTTAAATTTAAAAATCTCTACATGACAAGTACAAATAACTATATATTATTCATCATCGTATTGTTAACAATATTACGATGATATTTGTTTAGCTAAACGATTTGAATAAGCATAGAGTCCTTCACTTGTCTAAATTTAAACAAACATTAAATATTAATCGAGAAATATTTATCTTTATTATATATAGTATTACTTTAACAACTTCTAATTCTTGTCGAATAAGATCTTGTTGATTTGTTTTAGGAAATATTGTTTTTATTTGTGCTTGATTTTTATATAAATCATTTTGAAATTTTTCTCCTATATCTTTTCCTAATTTTGTTTGAAATTTATAATCTGTAAAAATTTCATGAACACGTGGATGAACATTATCAGTTTCAAATGCTTCGAGTTCTTCATTTTTATTTAATAGATTATCTTCAAATTTTTTATTTGAAAAATTATTTGATGGATTATAATCGATTAAACATTTTTTCTGAAAACAAAAACAACCAAGAAATTATTAGTCAAATAAAACAAATTCATTCTATGCCGTACGTAATTCGAATTATCTATAACAATTTCATCTGCCTTCATTTTTGTTCGTTGTTGTTCGGAATATTGTTTAATAGCTTCTTCAGTTGTATATGGCAATATACCTTTAGAAATAAGGTCTTGTTCATCTTGTTGCTGAATTTGACGTAAACGTTCCATGTTTTCTTGACAATTTTGCTATGAAATTATATGATCAAGAAAAAAAGGAAATACAGTTGCGAACAAAAGCCTTCTCTTCGGTTGGTCTCAACCACTGTTGGTGCTGGAGGTCTGAAGATTTGTGTACACGTGAGTCTTTTCTAAAGTTATGATGCTCAGAACAAAAAACTGGTGCTGTCTATCATAATTTTCTTTGTAATTAAGCAAAAACAGCACCACAATGGTAATGATCTTCATTCTTGGTGAAGTATGTGTATACAAATTTTCAGACTTTCAGTACATGCAGGAGCTGAGTTCGGCTAAGGTCGAGTTTTTTTTACTACTATATATATTATATTGAAATGAATAAGATACTTTTCTTAAATTTTTAAATCGATTTTCTAATGTTGTCCAAAAAGATCTATCATTTAAATAGATTGTATTTGTTTTCATTAATTTCTGAAGTTTATTATATAAAGCAAATCCATCAGGTAAACCATCAGGTAATTGATAAGTAATAATACCTTCTTGTGCTTTTGATATCCATTCTATATGTTGCTGACGTTCATCTGATGAAAATTTACCGTCAGTTGGTAATGTACGACTAGTTGCTTCTGATTTTTTACCAATTGATCCAGTATGATTTATTGATGTTAAATTATTCGAGCGTAGATTTGAATATGTTTGATGTAAAATATCATTATCACCGAGTGTCATATTCGATTTATTACCATCACGAATATTTGAATGAGCAGTAGATTTAGAAATAGTCGGCTGCATGAATGTAGAATCTGGTATATCAGTACGAAATGGCCATTGCATAGCCAATTCACCTATGAGATTCGAAAAATATTTACTTGAAAGTACAAACAAACAAAAATAAAGACATACGATGAAGTTCATTGCGATGCTTTTCAAAATGTTCAGGAAACTGTGTATGTGGCTGTTTAGTTGTAGTTGTAGGTAATAAATTTTCAAATGATTTACATTTATTCTGGGTCATTGTACGATAAGAAGAAGAAGAAAACAAAGTATATATTTACTACTAATAATTAATTACATTTTTTTCCTTCCCGCTTTGTTTTGTAACACATGAAAAAAATACACTATACATTTTCGTTTTTCGAGCAAGTTCTTTTAGTATTGGTATATGTAAAAATCTTGGCTCTTTCAGATGACTGTTAATTAAAGGTGAACTAGCGAGTATTTCTCTAACAGAACGAGAAAAAAATATCATGGTGAATCCTATGATATGAACTACATTTAAGATGAAATTTTCAGGAAGATTTGGCTCTAAAAACTTCTTGCTAAGCCTGGTTTTCTAGTGACTCTATTAAGTCTTGAAACAGAAATTTTTTTCTTGCCATCGTCTAGAGTTCGTATTTCATTACGTCACTAACGAATAATAAATCGATTTTTTCAAAAAAAAGCTAGGTGTACTCAGAAAAATCTACTACGTGTAATTCTATGAACAAAGGTGTGGGTGTCAATGAAGAGAAGATCCAGACTACAGAAATATGTACATGAGTAATACGAAATAAATCACAACTTTCTTTTAATGTACGTTTAACATTCAAAGCAAATATACCAAGAAATAATTTACGAAAATACTAAAAATCAAACATAAAAAATAAATCAATAATCTTGAAAGAAAACCAACATCGGCAGTTGCTATTTTGAAACCATGATTTTAGCAAGAAGAGGTTTGATGAATCTATACAGAACAGAATTTTCAACTTCAAGTATTAACCATCTTATTAAATAAAAAAATTTCGTTAAATAAAAATTTGTTCTCTTAAAAATCATCAGACCAATCTTACAAGAGTAGCTTCTCCAACAAACCGATTCGTTTTTTCTTCAGAACATCTTGGAATATATATGCAGTTCATTGCATTGATTCTGGATACAAGGTTCTAGCGTCTGTTAAGTTTTTACAAACTCTATTCTTGCAATGGTGCTTTTCATCAATCATCTATGTATATCATCACACTAAAATCATTGATAGGGATAGTTTTTCTTACACACGCTGCAATCTGAAGTTTGAAGTGTTAAGCTAGCGAAGCATTTCCTATATTGACTAAAAAACCAGTCATCTAAGATTTCTTTTTGTTTCCCCCTTATATATTTTACACATTATTCATAATAGTACTATATTTAGCAAAAGAGGGAAATTCCACAACTATTGGTGCTCTTCAGAAACACTAGGAAAATTCGTTTTCCAATTTCGAATTGGAAACTTGACATAAAGACCGATTTTAACGACAATAGTTTATTGCGAAAATTTCAGGTCTTTTAGTTTGCTTCTATCCTGAAACAAGAACATAAAATCTGCCCGTGTATATGAGCGGAGTGTGGGTGTGCGTGTGCGTGTAAATATGGATATAGCTGTGAGTGTCGTTGTTTGTTTCATCCACACCGACACCTACATCCATCCCCCCTGATAAAATTAAATGAAAGTATTCTCAATAATTTATTTTCTTTTATTCAATCTCTTATAATTATTTATGATTTCTTTTGATGATTGTCGAAAAGTTGAATTAAATTTATCATTAAATATTTCATAAACAAGCGTTGCAATATTAAAAAAAATATCATTGCTGAAGGTGGTCGCATGAAAAAGAACGAAAATTAAACAAGAAAGTTTATTTTGAAAATTTTTGTTATTATTAAAACAAATACATGAATCAATTGTTAATTTCAATTATGGTATTGTCTATTGCAATATGAAATTTTTTATTGTTAGTCACAATTCATGTATTTTTTCTTATACGTATGGTCTCGATCTGTGGATTTTTCAAATCTTTTGCCAATTGAATTTCAGATGAAAGCTATCAAATAAAATTGCATTGATGAACGTGATACAGCAGTCGTTTCTCATTAATATAAAACAAAGCCGAGCTCAAAAAATGCCATTTTCGCTCCGTTATCAGACGTTTTTCGGAATCTCTAGAACTAGAGATAAAACGAACCGGGAATTTTTGAACTCCTCAGATAGGATTAGATCGATGCAAATCTTCAAGATTGATTTACTATCAATTCAACCAACACTCGATAATAAGGTGTTTCAAAGACAAGAAAAGTGAGTCTATTTTCTTTCACTATTGTTACTCCGCTCAATGAAAGCGCCTGAGCAAAGTAGTTTTTCAGTTTAGAAAGTTGATCAGTTTCTAGATGTTAAGTATTTTTCCGTTCGACTTATCTCTTAATCATTCTATAGAAATAAGTCTTATCAAATCTTAATAAAAATCTTAATAGTGTATCTTTCAACAAAATAATCTGGTAAAAAAGTTGAGGACAAACGTTATAGTCAAAGTATTGTGAGATTCCATTATTTATAAATCATCCAAAAGATTTTATCGATCATTATTCGAAAAATACTTGTCGACGTTATCAAAAAAGTTCAACAAATTCTCTTAATCAAATTAATATTCGAAATAAATAAATGATGAGCATGTGTGTAAATCACTTGTTTTGTATTAGTTTTGATGAAATTTGTCCATGATTTTAACGCTTTTCATTTTGACTAGTTTATTAAATTATAAAGTTTTACATTTGACATTCATATGCATTAACATTCAACTTTTAATCAAACAAGAACATCCAAAAAATGACAAACTACTTGTTATTGTATGTTATCGAAAGCAATATTTCAAAATTGATATTTATTGTACATTATTTTTAATCGATCGTCTGACTTTTACTGTGAAAAACTACAACAAAGATTCAACATTTATATCGAATGTGTAAGATGTACGCAAAGCAAAAAATAAAGTAAAAAAAACTTTTTTTTTGATTTTCATACACCATTCGATAGAGAATTTCACAAGGCGGTCAAGAATATGTGTGCCTTGCGTGTTCTTAAACATTTTTTCGGTCGAAAAATCGAAAAAACCGGGAAGGTGTGAAAAACAGATAATTTGGCAACTTTTCATAGATTGCTCTTTTTTGTAAATATGTTACGAGATAGAATCTTCTAACTTAGTTTTTCTAATAGATCATAGAAAACTGAATACGAAACTGGTTTTAGACCATTTTTAGAGCAAAGCATTAGTTCACAAAATAATTTCCCAAGA